CCCGGGAGGAACCCCGCCCCCACGAACGGAAAAAAACGGCAACAGCCGGGGACACCCGGCACACGCCACAAACACGCGGAAGACCCCCCCCCACACACCAAAAACACCCGCCCCACAAACAGCCACGGCCCCCCCAAAAAGAAACAACCAACCCCGCGAGGGGGGGCGGAGGGGTGCCTTTCTCCTTTGCCTTTCTCCTTTGCCGCGCCCTCTGCTCCTTCCTCCAAACCCCTCCTCCAAACCCGGCGGCGGCAGGCAACACACCGCGACGAGCCCGGCCCGCCTGCGCGCCGATACACTAGGCACATCGCGGCTAATCTCGCCGCATCTCGCCGCATCTCGCCCGGATCTCGCAGCATCTCGGCGGATCTCGCCTTGACAAGCCGGACGCCCTGCACGTCGATATCCAGGATGCAGATGCAGCCCGCCTGAGCGACCTTCTCGACGGCGGCGCGCGAGGTGCCGTAGAGGTTGCCGTGCACGTCCGCGTACTCGAGGAAGTGCCCCGCCTCCACCATCTTCTTCATCGCGCCCAGCTCTGTGAAGTGGTACGCAATACCTGCGGCCGCCGAGGCGTTGTAGTCACAGCCATGGAACTCCTCCCCCGCAGCGCTTTGCGGTAGGGCGTGCGGAGGGCGCAGCGAGGCCGCGCGATCAGCGGCGGGGCCCTCTCCACCGCTTCATCGCAGCCCTAGCAGCAGCCGGGCGGGTGGCACAGCAGCAGCGCACCGTCCTCCTCTCCCGGCCGAGGAGAGCGGGTGGTGTGGGAGACACAGAAGCCGAAGGAGCCGGGGAAGTCCTTCATGAGCCGCGCAATCAGCGTCCCCTTGCCCACGCCCGACGGCCCAGCCATCACCAGAGGGCGCACGGACATGGGCTCGAGCGCGGCGCAGCAGGGAGGAGCGGCACGGGCGCTGTTGCTGCTGCTGCTACAGGGAGCGGACGAGCGGACTGAGCCTGGGCGAGGAGGAGGTTGTTTGTGGTGAGGGTGGGAGCTGGAGAGGGGAAGGCACGTTTTTGGTCGCACGCCGTGGTCGCGCCTCTTCAAGGCGCCGCCAGCAACGGTCGCTATAGGACCCCTTCTTGGGCCTCGTGACTGCCCTTGTTTGCACAAGTTTCGAGATTCGCAAAGCCAGGATGATGACTCGGACATCTCGGTCGCGGCCTGTCGCGCCATGATGGCGCTAACGTTGCGGTCCCGGTCCTCGTCGAGCTGATGCTCATCTGGGTCACAGGTTGGCCTTTCTTTCCCTACGTATCTTTCCTCGGCGCTGCCTCGTTTCTTTTCCGTCCGTGTTTTGGGCTCAATCAACCAGGTTTGCCTCTCGCACCCCGTCTGTTTTCCTTTCCCTTTTTCTCCACAGCACCCTCTCTTTTCCTCTCTATTTTCCATGTTGCTAAGCCAAGCGACGATTATGTGGTGAGAAAGTGCAACGAATGGTTGACCTGCCATATGGATCCACAAAAGCTCAAAGATTATCTACAGCGTGTGCTTACCCGAAAGGAAGATAATTTCAGTATGATCGTTACTGATTCGAGCTCGCTAGACTCCGACTCCTACTCCGAATCGGTCTCATCTGACTCAGTCTCAGACTCATCCGACTAGGTCTCATTTTTACATTGACACTCCCTAAAAAATGGGGCAAACTGCAAGTCGGTTGCGTACGTCTTGTGTGAATACGAGTGTAGGGTAAGAGGGTCGTTTCTTTGCCCTCAGTCCTCGGTCTGCCCCCTCCCTCTTTAGCACGCCCACCTCAGACCTAGCTGTAGGATACCGAGAAAAATGAAAACCTCGGTAAGTAAGATGATACCGAGCAGCACGACCCGTAGTTATCAATGCTCGGATGCACGGTTAGGCGCAGGCTATGATTTTCGTCGTGCGCATGTCATACTTGGGCGGCGCTGCACATGGGTGGAAGCTCCTGACCTCCGTTGATGACATCGCAGCTATCTGCACAGCCGCGGAGCTCCAATCTGGTTGCACCCAGGGAACGGGTTGTGGCCACGACCGTGACCTGATCTGGAGCAGCGACAAAGAACCGCCTGCTGATGGTCAGTACGACTGCTCAGGGTGTACCGGGCTTGACTGCTTTGAGACCAACACTTGCGACTCGAGCGGCCCGGATGGCGTCCCTCTGGCCTGCTGCCGCGCCTCTCCGTCGTCGCCGTCGCCGTCGCCGTCGCCGTCGCCGTCGCCGTCGCCGTCGCCGTCGCCGTCGCCGTCGCCATCGCCGTGTCCCTCGATGGAGGGCATCTGCGGAACGGGCACCTCATGGGATGGCAGGCAATGTACGGTGGATTGGCCAGCAATGGGCGACACTGACCTGGGTACCTTCTCCTTGTTTGGGACCTTTAGAGTCCCGCTGGGCTACAGTACCCCGAGATACTGGATCGACACTTGGGTCGCATCTGCTGACGAGGTCACTACGTACTCCGTCAGCGGCGCCTCGTCGTCTGGTGCGCTCTTGCAATGCAGCACAAAGTACTGCGAGGTGCGCATCTCGATCGGAAGCCTGACCGAGCCGCCTATCCTTCGCCTGGGACCCAACGTAGAGGCCGCTGTCACTTCCATCAGCGCGAACAATGCCGTCATAATCGTCAAACTAGACAACCCCGACACTCAGTTCTATTGCGGCGGAAGCGCCTCGACTCGGCAGTGCATCGTGCAGAGGCCGCCGGCTCCTTCGCCGCCACCCTTACCACCACTGAGTCTCTGTACCGAGTACACGCAGGACCAGCCATGCCCTCCGGGGGAGATTACACCGGGCTTTGGATCCTTTTGCAGCGTGCTTGGCGTTCGGAACCAGTGCCCTGGCTTCTACTGTACCAACAACGGTCAGTGCGCATCGCAAAGCTGCAGCGCAAGCAAATGCGCCTGATTGTCAGACACCACCCGGAGCGAGTCTCCTCATGGAACAGCGAGACGGGTGGGCCCACGAAACGAACTGTTGAGTAATGTAGACTAGCAGGTCATTGCGGTCCTCCATGCCTTGGCCAAGACAGCAAGAGTATGTATGACTGGGGTTGCGCAGCAGTGTGTACATACTCCGCAAGGGATGCTCTCTCGAGCGCTGTCTTCCGTCCTCGAATGTGGGCCAGTCTTGTGCGTGCGGGCACGCTGCCTCATCAGGGCGCTTTGTTCTCGGAGTCTCTAGTCCCTCTCTGTCTGTCTGTGGAGTACTGTATGTAGAATATAGAGAGAGAGGAGACCGGAGTTGTGGTCGCCTCGCATGTCGGTCTGTGGAGTAGAGGAGTCTACTAAAGAACAAGCCGCTCCCCGGATTGTGTTAGTGCCAGTGCGCGCCAGTCCCGTCCCAGTGCCCCCGAGAGAGTTGATGTCGCACGTACCCTACCTCGCACACAGCGGGTTAGGAATAAGCTGTGGCGTTCTCCCAGCCAGTCTTGGTCGTGGCCGAGGTGCCGAACTGAGAGGCACTACTGGAGGCTTCCTCCGGCCACCGCTCGACTACCCACGCACATGGCCGGTCCTGTGGCTTGCCTGGACTCGCTCAGAAGCCTCGATTCGCGCACACCTTTGCTCTCTGGCTCCCGCGAGTGCGTTCAGGCCACACAAGCAGGCGACGCCGAGCACCCGCAACGCATCTCGCTGGGGCGCCACCTATCGACCCGACTGATTGGCAGCATCAACGCCGACCCCATGACGGTCCTTCAGCCCCACGAGGTAGGCAGTTGCGCCCTGATCTCGGTCCAAGACGGCCAACGCCGTGTCCGGCACCTGCTGGCTGCTTCACGGGGATGCCCCCACGGACACATGCTGAAGCCCCGAGTGGATGTATTGGTCGTTTGTGGGTCCCCCAAGACTACTCTAGTAGGGGCCGGGCGCTTGAGCGTCGGCGGTACACCTGTGCAGATGTTGCACGGGTGAAATGGCTCCTCGTACAGGGTAGGAGGCAGGTGGTGGGCTTGAGTGTCGTGAGTGCTTGCAGCCGCGAGTGCAGCACCGTTTGCGACTCCCATGGATGCAATTGGGTGGGGCACGGTGCTGGGGGGCGGTCCGGTGCGCCACAACAGCCTCCCCGGCTGACCCCCATCCAGTTCGGCACCTCCATCCCTACTGTGTGAATTCGCGGAGCGAAGAAAATTTTAGACGGAATACGTCCATTTTTGGAGCTTGGAATACGGCGTATTCCATGGAATACGTGGAATACGGGTGGAATACGGGTGGAATACAGGCCTCTGGGAGGTCATTTGGAATACGTGGAAAACGTATTCACACAGTAGGCCTCCATCCCGACCGTGGAACCCCAACTTCAACCGGTCATATCTCGGGCGGACTGGCACCTCAGGAGCTCATCCTGGGCGGTTTGGGGGAGTCTTGGGGGTGTACTTGAAGGTGATAAAAAGAGTTTTGCACGAGATCTTAACCGGGGGGCAGCCGGAGCACCGTGAAAACAGCGCGCCACAGCTTATCCTACCCCGCCAGTTTGCACGACCCTCGCATGCTGCTGCCAACAACCCGCCTGCAGTCCGCCGGCGTGTCGCTGCTGCTAGCCTCGGGGTGCTGGCTTGGCGTCGTGCCGCCTGGGCTTGCCGATCCTCCAGCAGAGCCAGCCGTCTCTGCGCCGGCGTCCACCCTGATGACGCTCGAGCAGGTCCGCACCATCAGCGCGCTGCAGGAGATGGGGTCGCTGCCGAGCGAAGATAAGACGGCCCTGCGGCGCGTGTCGCTCGAGAACTCCCAGCTGAAGGACAAGGGCGCGCTCAAGGTGCTCAAGAGCGGGCAGGAGTACGCGGCCCGTGGCGCCGACCCCGAGACGCAGACGCTCGACGTGGAGGTGCTCCGGAAGGCCGAGGAGCGGTTCAACCTGCTCGTCGAGGACCTGGCGCCCTCCTTTTCCGGCGGGTACGCCAACCGCGCGAACGTCCGCGTCGCGCTCAAGGACTATGCGGGCGCCGTCGAGGACTACGAGATGGCGCTGCGGCTCTCGCCACTCTCGGACGATGCGTGGGTCAATTGGCTCAACCGCGGGTCGACGCTGATCGCCCTCGGCCAGCCCGAGCGCGCGCTGCCCGACCTGCAGCGCTCCGTCGAGCTGAGCAAGGCGGCGGTGGCGTCCGGCGCGAACCAGGCGGAGCAGACTCTCGCGCGTCTCGAACCAATCCCAGCGCAATCTCGAGCAATCTCGGGTGACCTCGGGTGATCTCGGCAGGCGGAGAAGCTCTCGCTGCTCGGGCGCGGATCGGCGCTGCACGCGCTCGGCCGGTGGGAGGCGGCCGCGGCCGACTACGGCGCCGTGGTCAGTAAGGCGCCCAGCGACGTGCAGCCCTTTTGGCTGCGGTGGAGACCGCCTCGGTCCTTCGGCCCGGCCCCGCCGTCCCACCGACCGCCCGCCCGCGAGCCGGATAGGTACGGGCTCGAGCTGCTCCAGGTGGGCCGGACGCAGGACGCGCTCGGCATCGTGCGGCGCGTCGCGGCAAAGTTCGACATCGAGCCAGAGTGCCAGCTCGCCCTCTATGCCGCGACGAACGCCGCGGGCGGCGAGCGCGGCACTGCCGAGGCGCAGCGGCTGTGGAGTGTCGCGCCCGGCGAGGTGAAGCAGCGGGTGGCCGAGCTCGACTTGGCCCAGCGCCAGTGGCCTCCCGCCGCGGCCGACGCCGCGAGGACCTTCCTGCGTTCCGTGGCCAGCGCGTGGTCGTCTGGCGAGTGAGAGGTTGGCGCCGGCCTCTGCGATCCGCATCCTCTCGTTTCTCGGCCCCACGGCCAGATCTGGCGGTCGCAGGTGTGCGGGGCACCTCCGCGTGCTGTAGTGTAGAGTAAGAAAAGCAAGAAGAAAGCGGCGTGAGCGTGAGCCGTGTCCCGTGAGCCGTTCGTCGAAAAAGTCGGCCCCCAGCGCCCAGCCCCACGGCCCGCGG